TCTCTCTCTCTCTCCCTTTTTAACTCCCAGTGCAGCTTAGGCCATCAACAACATTTCTCCAGCGAAGCCTGTCCTGTGCATCCTTTTCTATATTCTGTTTCCATGATAACCCCGCTTTTTCATTTTCCGCTCGTCGTACCGCTCGCCTCCATGTCGTCTTTGGTCTTCCTTTCTTACGTTTTCCTTGTGGATGGTGATCTGCTTGGCTATAAGGCGTCACGACGCGCTTGAATCAGGCGCTCGTCAATTTTCGGGCATAGTTTTAGTAAGTGTTTTACGGCACTTGCAACACAAAAACTTATAAGGTCATATAAGTGCCGAAGATTAGAGGTGTTACAAGAGAGTAACAAAGACATAAAAGGAGGGGAGGTGATAAAGAAGGTAGATATTTGATAGGAAAAACGGAGCAAACCGCACCAGAGCACCCGCCAACCATCCACAAGGTCATATAAGGGTCGAAGATTAGAGATGTTACAAGAGAGTAACAAACACAAAAAAGAAGGAGGGGAGATAAGGACGATAGATGTTTGATAGGAAAGAAGGAGCAAACCGCACCAGAGCACCCGCCAACCACCCACAAGGTCATATAAGTGTCGAAGATTAGAGGTGTTACAAGATAGTAACAAACACAAAAAAGAAGGAGGGGAGATAATTACAAGAGAGTAACAAACACAAAAAAAGAAGGAGGGGAGATAAGGACGATAGATGTTTGATAGGAAAGAAGAAGCAAACCACACCAGAGCACCAGAAAATGGCCACCAAAGGTTGGTGACTTCCAAAGCTTGAGAGTCTTTGGTGGAAGCTGCAATTTTAATTTTTGTGTGCCTTTGATCAAGTTTTTAAAGAAGTAAAATCTATACAGAAACGTGTTCTTAAGTGTACATAAAGGGTACTGACCAAGACCCCGGCTCCAGATAATCTTCTTCTTCTTCTTCTTCTTCTCCTTCTCCTTCTTCTTCTTCTTCTTCTTCTTCTTCTTCTTCTTCTTCTTCTTCTTTTTCTTCTTCTTCTTTGTCTTCTTCTTCTTTTTCTTCTTCTTCTTCTTCTCCTTCTCCTTCTCCTTCGTCATCTTCTTCTTCTTCTTCTGCTTCTCCTTCTTCGTCATCTTCTTCTTCTTCTTCTTCTTCTTCTTCTTCTTCTTCTTCTTCTTTTTCTTCTTCTTCTTTGTCTTCTTCTTCTTTTTCTTCTTCTTCTTCTTCTCCTTCTCCTTCTCCTTCGTCATCTTCTTCTTCTTCTTCTGCTTCTCCTTCTTCGTCATCTTCTTCTTCTTCTTCTTCTTCTTCTTCTTCTTCTTCTTCTTCTTTTTCTTCTTCTTCTTCTTCTTCTTCTTCTTCTTCTTCTTCTTCTTCTTCTT